CTGGCCCCCACAAAAAAAAAAAAAAAAAAAAAAAAAAAAAAAAAGAAAGAAAGAAAGAAAGAAACTGATAAACTGAGGGCAAGTGGTGGGGGCAGTGGTTCTGAGGAAGTGAGCAGATGGGGCACAGTGGTGGAGAGAAGGATTTGCACTATGCTCCTTTTCATAGTTTGATGTTTTGACTGGCTTAAATTATTTATCTATTAAAAAATTAAACAAAGTATGTTTTCATGGCTCAGATATTTTTCTCTCTCAGACTTTCTGAGACATGATAGAATACAACTGAGTTATGTGTGTGTATATATATTATGTACGTGTGCACATGTGCATGTGTGTGTTACATATGAGTCTAACCTTGAATGCATTGCTTTTCCATCATTTACTTCTATTTAAAATTCTCTTAAGGAAAGTGAGAAGTGTGTCTGTTTCTTCTTTGAATCCAATTGACCCAGTTTGTTTTTCTTCACCCTTAGGGTTCTGTGGTTTATTTTATTTATTTGTTTATTTATTTATTTTAAGTAGATCTTTCCTCTCTTTCTTTTCTTCTTTGTTGTTTTTATTGTCTTCTTCTTTTCTCTCACTCTCTCATACAGGAATCTCGCTCTCTCTCTCTCTCTCTTTTTTTTTTTTTAGAGAGAGAGAGAGAGATTTTTGCTGTAGGGTGTATGGGGTCATCAGAGAGAGACAGAAAGTGGGAAATCACCCCTCTCCCAGGGGGAATGGCCATGCTGCAATCCATTCTCCTCTTGGCATTTTGGGCACACATGCACACGCACCTGGCCTGAGTTTTAAGCTGAACCATGGTCGACTACATGGGAGTTTGGTAACATAACCATTATACCATCTGCTGGTCTCGGAATATTTCCTTTCATCACTGTCCTGAAAATGTTTGCGGTGTTGCTACAGTGGTGAGAGGTTAAACCGTGGTCTTCTTAGTACTTCAGTGATTCTCTCACCTGTGATGAGATTCTTTGGAGCAGATAAGGAGGCAGAGGGTCAGGGCAGGGCAGGTGGAGCCTAGCACTGACATTTTCCTCTTGGGAATGTGTATTTTCTTTCCCTGGAGTAGGATGTCCATGAGACCAGAATATGGAACTCCACTGGATGGTCCATTTAAGAACTGCATGAAAGTACTCATAGATTTGCTTCTGTTTCTTCGCTCTATTATTTTATCTCCCCTTGACTCCTCTCCAGAAAATTCAGGACATACTTATTCCATCTACTTGGATTCACAAGCATCAACCTTTGCCTGGAGGATCTTTCTTGTTCATCAACATCCAGGTCTTACATCATTTAAACATGTTCTCTGAGACTCCCACTGCCTTCTATGTGTGATATGTTACCTAGCACTTACACATAATATTAGTAACCTACACATATATACTCTGATTTCTATCTGTCCATCAGAGGAGTCACATAAAGAATGTGTTTTAAACACTGGATATAGATCAGAGTAACAGACCTTTACAGAATGCCAAATATGTCCCTGCTTTTATGAGTTTCACGGTCTGTTAGCTTAATGTGTACTGTATCATAGCACTTTCAAAAACACACTTAATAGGGACCAGCAATTAGCGTAATGTCTATGTCACTGGACTCCCATGTAGTCGACCACGGTTCAAGTCCCGAACCCTGTGGCTTAAACTCACGCCGGGCACGTGTGTGTGCAGGCCCAAGATCCTGAGAGGAGAACAGAGAAGAAGGGATTGCGGCATGGCCATCCCTCCTGGGGGGTGATTTCTCACTTTCTGTCTCTCTGCCTTTCTGGAGAGCACATGCGCTCTATAGCAAAAACCTCTCAAAACAAAAACAAAAACAAAAACAAAAACAAAAAACACACACTTAATAAATGCTTTGCATGTTGTTCATGATGATAAATTCTACTCATAGGAAAATAAACAAATTACTCCATCTTTTCTAGTCCAGACATTTGGCAGGCTAAGTGTTTTAATTGTTCCTTTCTGCATCTAGCTTTATTCATTTAAAATCTTTTCAAATTCTTCTGTTGTATATTGTTAGGACTTAAAATTTTAGACCTCAACACAAGGATGCTAACTTTAAGAGCCCATGACTGAAACATTACATTACTAAAGAGCTGTGTTCTTTACTCAAATGTCCCCATTAGGAACAAGTGGATCAAGAGTATGGTGCTTTTTTGCATGGTTGAAAAAAGAAAGAAAAAAAAATCTTAAATTGTTAAGTTCCTATAGTCTTTCAGAACATAGAAGTCCTTTAGAATATTCAGTGGAAATACAAAGAGTCTTTGGGGTAGCTGAGGAATAAAAAAGAATTCCTAGCACACTGTACACTTTCAGAAGAAAAATATTAAGAATAAAAATAGTTTCCCTACTCAGTCATTCCTTGGGATTTTTAATTTATTCAATCCTCTAAAGGAGTGAAAGAAAAAAAAGAATATACTTGGCCACTCTAACAGAAATTATTCATAGCTCCTTTCCTTCATAGGATAATGGAATATTAGATCTCCCATAAAGTCCCTTTCAGTAATTTTATGGTGGGTCTGCATTTTATAAACCATGTTTTGTAACCAAGAAAGAAAAAAATAAGGTAATTATTTTATAATAATTCAGCCACTGATTTTATTAAATTTCCATTTCCAAACCTTTCATCTCTTCTATAAAAATTAAACAGACTGAGAGTCTCTTATTAAATGTAATTATTAAATTGCAAGTTTCATGACTGCCATCTACTGGTGAGGGAAAAAGTGACAACTTAAAAGTTTCACATTTTCTCCTATTTTTTGTTTAGGAGTTCACATATTTTACATGAAAACATATTAAATGCTCTACAATAGGACATTCAGAACATTTTATGTGTTTACTCTCAAATTAATTGACCAGCCATTACTAGTTTTCAGAAAAGAATAAAAATTGACATTTCCTTTTTATGACAATATTTTTTCTTAGAATTCTTACAAGTGACACAAATGACTAAAGCACTGTGACCTAAATTATGTTTTTATAGACATGTATGCCAGTATCCCTTATGATGAAATTAATGATTATTTCCAAGACCAGTCAGTCAAATTAAACAAAGCACATTGGTGCAAAACTCTTAATGGAGACGCCGTGTATGTGTGTGTGTGTGTGTGTGTGTGTGTGTGCGTAGATCCTTTATATACATATATATATATATGTGTGTGTGCATGTGTGTGTATACCCTTTATATACATATATATATGTGTGTGCATGTTGTGTGTGTGTGTATATATCCTTTATATACATATATATATGTGTGTGTGTGTGTGTGTGTGTGTATACCCTTTATATACATATATATATATATGTGTGTGTGTGTGTATGTGTGTGTGTGTGTGTATACCCTTTGCATATAGGAAGTACTTAGTCATGAAACATACCTGGCTTAAAATGTGGTAAAGAATGAACTCCAGGCCATGTGTCCTCATTTGGCGTTCCAAGAACCTAGTGGAGGGCAGGAAATTGTGGAAACAGACTTATTATTTCCAAAGCACTCAAAATTCTCAAGTGTAGAAAACAGTATACTACATGTTATGAAATTCTGTATTTTTTTCCATTATCATGTGCCAGGGATTTTATTTCAATAACAACAAATCCAGCTAACCAGCCACCCAAGATGAATCACTGGGTTGTAACAAATGCAGCTGCGGAAAGTAGTAAGACAAGTTAAATCTGCTGTATTTTATCAAGTCCAGCTTTAATCAGTAGGCTAAGGAATCTAATGATAAGCTGCCATTTCATGGAATTGAATAAAGCACGCATGCCTCCCTCATGATTCTTTCATGAACTTTTCTTCTGCGCTCTAGGATTTAACAGTTCTAAGAAGGTTGTCATTTCTTTCTCACATCATCTCTGAGAATCACAATGTTTCAAAAAAGGAGTATTGGGTCAGCCAGTGGTGTGGTGGTTAAGGTAGCTAGATCCCACATGGCTGACTGCACAGTTCGAGTTCTGGACCTAACAGCTTGAAAAACATGGTTGGGAGTGAGAGTATGTGTGTGTGTGTGTGTACACGCGCATAAAATCCTGAAAGGAGGGAGAAAGGGAGGAGGGATCGTGGTATGAACATTCTTCCTGGGAGGTGCTTTCTCACTTCCCCTTTTCTTTCATTTTTGGCAAATGTACGTGCCTTGTGGCAAAACTTTAAAAAAAAAATTAAGATTGACAGCTTAGAATGTTCAAATTCTCTCATTATAGCTAAAATCTTTACTTTTGTGATTTATACTTTCCTCTTACCAAAATGCTCTTCTTCCTATACCTTTTCCTTTTTCTAGCTATACTTCCACCTTCTTTCCCCATCTACGCTTTTTTTTATCACCACAATGTGGATCTGCTGAAAAGGATTTAAGGGCAATTCAAGCTCAGGTACAACTGGGGATAGATACTACCTTGGAATTTTCAGTTCCATCATCTATCGCTCTTATAGGCAGTGACTACTGAGTATAAGAACAGTGGGGTTTGGGGCCAGCAGGTGGTGTAGTGGTTAAGGAACTGGAATCCCACGTGGTCGACAGCAGTTAAGAATCCCGGGCCCTTGGCTTGAAACTCATGTTGGGCACACGTATATGCGTGCCCAAAATCCTGAGAGGAGAATGGAAGAGCAGGGACTGTGGTGTGGCCATCCCCCTGGGGGGGTGGGGAGGGGGTTTTGAATTCTTCATTTTCTGTCTCTCCAGCGAGCACACGCACCCTATAGCAAAACCAAACCAAAACAAAACCACTCTCAAAATAAAAAACAGAGGTGTTTAAGAGTGAATGAGGGAACCAGCAGTTAGCATAATGGCTATGTCGCTGGACTTCCGCGTAGTCGACCGCGGTTCCCGTCCTGGACCCGGTAGCTTAAAACTCACGCCGAGCGCGTGTGTGTGCGTGCCCAAGATTCCGAGAGAATGGAGGAGAAGGGACTGCGGCGTGACCATCCACCCGGGGGGTGATTTCTCACTTTCTGTCTCTATGTCTCTCTCTGTCTGGCGAGCGCACGTGCCCTATAGCGAAAAAACCTCTTAAAAAAAAAAAAGAGTAAATGAAACCTGACTTTAAAGACAGACTCCTCGCATTCAAATCCTTGTTTTCCTACTTAATAGCCATGAAAATCTGGGCAACAAATAAACTTCCTGAGTTTCAATCCTCATTTGTAAGATGAGGGGGTGATAACACCTACCTCACCTGTGTGACCTGTGTGGAGAGCATCACCAGGCGCCAGTAAACATGATGTATTAGCTATTATTTGAAAAGTGTGCATAGAAAACTGGGTCAGGTCAGGCAGGCAAAGCTGTTTGGGGAATCTAGACCACCCACTTTTCCAGAGTGAATCCTTATTCAAGGGAGCCAATGGCAGATGTCATGCAAACTATGAGGATAACATGGAAAATTAAACCGGTTAGAAAGGGTATGAGATAAAGCCAGAGCATGGCAGAGGAGGAGAAGGAAGGGCAGCTATTATGGGGGGAAAGCTGCATGTTCATTTATCTCTGAGGATTAGTAGGCACTACTAGGGAATACAGAGCTCGAGCTCTCACTGCATTTATTTACTGGGGTTGGGGGCAGGGCTGTGGTGTCAAAGGGTGGCTCGTCTACATGAGTGCTTTCCTCACTTCTTTCTATTTTGGTTAAATCATGTTTATGTTTCTCACTGAAACAGTGAATCTGGTGTCAGAAAATGAGATAACACGTGTACAACTCTTCTTTTACATTGTAACTGGGTAATTCTGCAAGGACTAGTTCATACTAATATCAATAAGTAGATCTACACAAACAAGGTCACTTTTTATTTATTTATTTATTTTTTTGCTATAGGTGCATATACTCACTGGAGAGAGAGAGAGAGAGAGAGAGAGAGAGAGAGCACCCTACAGGGGGATGGTCAAGCCACAATCCCTTCTTCTCCACTCTTCTCTAGATAATTTGGGCACACACACACGTGCTCCTGGCATTATTTTCAAGCTGCCAGACCCAGGACTCAAACCTCTGAGTCAGTCATGTGGGATAGAGCTGTCTTAACCATCACACCACTGGCTGGCCTCAAGGTCACATCATTGATAGGCTTAAGTTATAAAGAGACACACAGAGGGCTGGAACAGTTGTAAGATAGGAAAAGAGACAAAGGTGTCATCTCAGACATAAACAATTGTGATAGCAGTGTCCCACAAATGGCTTTTTCTCCTTTCTTTTTAGCAATTCCAACTGTTATTGAGGATCACTTTGCAGGCAGCCCACAGGACTTCTCTAGGAATATTTCATTTTGTTCCCATATGGAATTTTGCATGAAGGACAAAGGTGTCCAACAGCACTAAACTTTAGCTACTAAAAGGAAGGAAATCTCAGCTCAAAATCACAACTTATACCCAACCCATCACAAATGAAACAGACTTTCTGAAAATTGTATAAACAATGAAAAGTCCTGCAAGAACCTGAACCCGGTTTTCTTGCTCTTAATTAAAGAACGATCGTTAACCCTCACTGTCCCTGTTTCTACAATGGTTGCATCAGCAACACTTTTTGCTAGGACTTATCTTCATCATATGTAGTATTGTGCTTGAAAATGATAATCGAATATTATGGCCCTCTCATAACAGTTACTGGGGAAAGAGAAAATACATAAGACTTGTTTTTTCATTATAAACTTGATTGTTGAGATGCCAGGCCTCAAATTCTTCCTTTTCTTATGATCCTGGAGCATTTGCACAGGAAATGCCAAGTGGGCAGAGGAAAAGAATTAAAAATGAATTTTTCTTCCTCTAAAAGCCTTTCTGGAAAGGTTAGTTTGGTTTTAATGTATGACAGTAGAGGGATGTCAGCTCTGATGCCAGATTTTCATTTGTATTAACTGCCTAATAAATTCCACTATCAAGACATTTTTTAATGAAGTTAGAATGAAAAAGAATATTCTCTAAAAGTCAAAATAATCTTTTGTAACTAAAACAGTGAAAAATAAAACTGCATCTGGCATGCCATCAACACTTAAAATTTGTTTCTTACATCTGTAAAGGAGACTTATGACATCTGAGAAGACAACATGCTACAATAGGTGGCGATATCTTCTACATGTTCACTGAAATAGTTTCATCTTAAACCTGTGCATGTGGTCTGTACATTGATCTTTTAACTCTTATGGGGCTTCTCTCTGAAGACAGAAGGCTAGGACTTGGGTTCTGCCTTGAGGTTGGTGCTCTTGGTCTACCAGGAGAGACAAACAGCCACGAAGAACTGCCTTCAACATAATAAGTGTTCCGTTTGAGCTGGGAGAGGTAGTGAGACCCTGAGGGAGGGTGTGCTTGCCTTTCCCTGGGGATGAGGAGAAAGGCTCTCTGGGAGAGGGCAGTTTAGTGGGAGAGGGAAGACTGAGTAAAAGTTTGCCAGGGAAA